AAGCTGGCAATGCACCAAACAATTCCTAAGGATTTTCCGAAACACTACTCTGTCGATAAATTGCAGCACTTTGAATTAGCACCAGAGCTTTAAGTGCTCTCCAGCTGTCACCTGGAGACTGTCAACAGCTTGTTTGGAGGGTGGGGAGTATGGCATTGTATCTGTCTGAGGTCCTCCTCTTCCTCCTCCTCCTCCTCCTCCTCCTCAGACCCCACCCTCAGCAGGCTTCATCCCTAAAATATCCTGGAAGTTTCCAAACTGGAGTTGGCAACCCTATGTCCTTTCCAGGCAACCATCACCCTACCTTTATCTGCCTGTCTGTCTTCAGGTTTACATCCCACCCACCCCAGCCTCTGCCTAGGGAAAGGGCAGTCTTTCCCTGCAGTGGGAACCAAAGCAGCTGACATCATTCTCCTCTCCCCCGTATGATTCGCACAACTACCCTATGAGGTATGTTAAGGTTGAAAGTGTGTGAATGGTCCATAATCCCCCAGGCAGCTTTTAAAACATGAACCTGGGACCTGCACACCACCAGAATACAGCAGATTCCATATGCAACTGACATTCCAACTGCCTTGCGGGGGGGGGGAGTTTGAGGTGTGGAATGGAGTCCAATCAGCTTCCATATGCAAAAGACCTTGAAATGCTGGGCGGGACTGTACAAAGCAGCCAGTCAACCCAGCCAGCGACTTCTGACTGACAGTTCTTGCGGCCAAACACTAAAGGTGTGCATTTGGAACGCTGGAGCCGACTATGGCTTTATATATAAGGGAGAGATATCCCTTGGATGTATCCCTTCATCGTGAGTTCTCCTGGGTGGGGGGAGATGAGGTACAAATTGTAAATAAAATAAATTAGGGCTGGAGAGAGAAACGGGAGACCGGTGTGATTTGGGGAGAAATGATGAGGCAGGACAGAACAGTTTAGGGGGCCCGGCTCAAGAGACGGAGCTTTTGCAGGAAGAAAGGGAAGCTGCTTCACACCAGTGTTCCCTCTAAATGCTGCAGATGCTCATTTTTGCAACTCTCCTCCAGGGAAAACTGCCCTCTGTCAGCTATGCTGCCATGAAGGTTGGGGAGTTTGGGCTGTATCTGGTTAATGACTATTCCTTTCCTTTCAGGTTAATTGCTACTGCATTCCTTTCTGTGCTTTCTCTGCTGTGCGCCGAAAAACTTATCTATACAGGTGTGCAGGACTCAGGAGGGTGTTGTGGTGTCTGGGTTTTCCCTAACTGTCGTGGGAGAGTGTTCATTCTCAGCTTCAGCTACCTAACAGTCTAGAGTCATTAGCCCGCGCGCAGGAGGGTGCCTAATTGGCCAGTGCTGGGGGGAGGTTGCATATGAATACCCTATATCCTATTATGCCCATGGGGCCGCCGCCATTCTTAACAGTGCCTATGTTAATGCATCTATAGCTTTGCAATAAAAGTATAACCGTTCCTGAATGCGTGTACTTCATTGTTGGCTGTGGGTTCTGATACCCTCTAGCCTGCTAATCCCTATTGTTTACTGAGCTACTTCCTCGGATTCTTACCCTCCATCTGGGATATCCTCACACAACTGCCTTGGGAGGAGCAGTTTGTCCTCTTGCCTCCTCGGGTGCCCGCCTGCTTTTGGGCTCCGAGTTTTCCCAGAAAACGTTAAAAATAGGGTCTGGTCCAGTGTTCCCCGTAAGCTGAGCAAGCACACAGTTTTTAGGCTCTGGCTCATACTTTTTCGTCTTAGCTCAGGAAGGATGGGGCTCCAGAGCAAACTAATGGATGCATTACATAACATAAGAACATAAGAGAGAAGCCAATGTTGGATCAGGCTAAAGGCCCCTCCAGTCCAACACTCTGTCTCACGCAGTGGCCAGAAACACCAGATGCCCTCAGGAGGTCCACCAGTGGGGCCAGGACACCAGAAGCCCCTCCCACTGTTGCTCCCCCCCTCAAGCACCGAGAAGACAGAGCATCCCTTGCCCCAGACATAAGAACATGAGAGAAGCCAGTGCTGGATCAGGCCAATGGCCCATCCAGTCCAACATTCTGTCTGTCAGACAGTGGCCAGAAATACCAGGTGCCCTCAGGGGGTCCAGCAGTGGGGCCAGAACTCCAAAAGCCCCTCCCACTGTTGCCCCCCCCCACCCAAGCACCAAGAAGACAGAGCATCACTTGCCCCAGACATAAGAACCTAGGAGACGCCAATGTTGGATCAGGCCAAAGGCCCATCCAGTCCAACACCCTGGGTCACACAGTGGCCAGAAATACCAGGTGCCCTCAGGAGGTCCAGCAGTGGGGTCAGGACACTAGAAGCCCTTCCGCTGTTGCCCCCCCACCAAGCACCAAGAAGACAGAGCATCACTTGCCCCACAGTAGCCCAATTGCTGACTCACAACTTTAATGCCAGCAGCTCACAAAGCAGAATTTTTGCTCACAAGACTCCACAGCTTAGAGGGAACATTGGTCCCCATTGGTCAGGCTCAAATCCCGACATCTCCTCTCCAGCAACAAAAGTTCTCAAGAAGCAGGCCTGCAAAAGAGCCTTGGAGAGCCACTACCAGCCAGAAGAGACAGCGCTGGGCAAACTGGTTTTGTGTCACGAAGGCAGGAACAACTCCGCTCTGCTCCACATAACTGCCTCCACCCTTCGCAGGCCCAGCTGCAGGCCCCACACTGCCTATGGACCCAGACAACAGACTACTCATGACCTTGGGCAAGCCGTAGTTCTAACAAGAGCTGTTCTCTCAGGAGCAGTTTCTGTCAGAGCTCTCTCAGCCCCACCCACCCCACAGGGTGTCTGTTGTGGGGAGGGGAAGGGAAAGGAGTCTGTAAGCCGCCCTGAGACTCCAAGTGAAGGGCAGGGTAGAAATCCAATCTCTACTACTGAGGGCACCAACTACTAATGAGTTGTGCTAATGAGCTCCTGCACCTCTTTTTCTACGAAATGACCCCTGTGTATGTGTGTGCTGTCACATCGCGGCTGACCTCTGGCGACCCCAGCAAGGGGCATTCAAGGCCACTGAGAAGCAGAGGTGGTCTCCCGTTGCCTTCCTCTCCAGAGCCTTCCTCAGTGGTCTCCCATCCAAGTACTGACCCTGCTGAGCTTCCACGATCTCTTGAGACTGGGCTATACTCAACATTATGATACAACATCTCACAAACATTAGCCAGAGGCAAGCTATCCCCATCGAGTGGTTTATCTACTTATTTTAAACATCCCTAATCCCAGAACAGGACCCCATGAATCTCTGCATCCTGTCACTGAGTTGACCCAATATCCTTTATGGATGTCTGAGACCTTTCACCTCAGTGGCGGACCTACATTTTTGGGGCCCTGAAGCTTGAACTGTTATGGGGGGCCCTTATGTTTAGCCTGGGAAAGAGAAGGCTTAGAGGGGACATGATTGCAGCCTTCAAGTATTTGAAAGGCTGTCATGTAGAAAATGGAGCAGATCTATTCTCTCTTGCTCCGGATTGCAAGACTAGATCTAATGGGTGGAGATTACAAGGGAGTCGATGCTGGCTAAATATCAGGAGAAACTTCCTAACTGTCAGAGTGGTCGAGCAGTGGAACAGTCTGCCTCGGGAGGTGGTGGAGGCTCCTTCGCTGGGCATTTACAAGCAGAGGCTGGATGACCATCTTTCGGGTATGTTGTAGGTATGTAGGGCTATCTTTCAACTATGCTCCTGCAGAGTGCAGGGGGTTGGACTAGATGACCTGCAAGGTCCCTTCCAACTCTAACGTTCTATGATTCTATGATTCACAACCAGCAACAATAGGGCAACGTCCAACAAGGCCCTTGCAAGGAACTCAAGGGGCAAATAGCAGAGAACGGGGTGGAGCCCTTGAAAGTGGGCCATACAGCAAGCAAACCCCTCCCCACCAGCAACGAGGTCTGGGTCACTTCTGCTATCTTCTTCAATGGGGTCATTCCATGGCAGATCACCACAATTTTTTTTTAATTAACCACTACATCTCAGGTTTTGATTAAAATTGCTCTACTGGGTTATCTCACAAGTCAAAGCCACTTGTGTACAGCTGGGGGTTCAGGTACCGCAAGCCCCTGAGGAAGATTTTGAAATTTGACCAACTACAGGGACATTTTGAGGCCCTCTGAAACGGGTATTAGAGCATATTCTAAGGTCAATATGGAGTACTTCAACCCATTAGCTTCAGATTCTGCCACTAAAATAGCCTTAAAGGTAAAGTAAAAGGTAAAGGTTTCCCTTGCTCGAAAGCCAGTCGAGTCCGACTCTAGGGTTGCGGTGCTCATCTCCGATTCAAAGCCGAAGAGCCAGCGCTGTCTAAAGATGTTTCCGTGCTCATGTGGCCGGCATGACTAAACATCAAGGCGCATGGAACGCTGTTCCCTTCCCACCGAAGTGGTACCTATTTATCTACTTGCAATTTCTTGCTTTTCAACATGCTCATCTCCGATTCAAAGCCGAAGAGCCAGCGCTGTCTAAAGATGTTTCCGTGCTCATGTGGCCGGCATGACTAAACACCGAGGCGCATGGAACGCTGTTCCCTTCCCACCGAAGTGGTACCTATTTATCTACTTGCAATTTCTTGCTTTTCAACTGCTAGCTTGGCAGGAGCTGGAACTAGAGACAGGAGCTCACTCTGTCATGCGGCCTTACATAGCCTTACAGAACAACAACAAAAACCTCCATCAATTTTGGTGAAAAATTCACTCATTAAAAAAACACACGTTGCTTCAGGACCCCTCATAGTAGATCCGCCCCTGCTTCACCTACTGACTAGCCAATATAGTTTCCCTCCCTCCCACCCCCCAAAAAAGAAGAGTTATGAAGAGTTTTAAGAGAATACCACCAAGTTTCCTCTGCAGCCACTCTGGCGCTACTCTGGTCCAAGCCATTGTGCGGCAACAGGTGTCAGCAGCTTTGTCAGGGGCCACAGGGGCCTTTGCCACCCAGCAAGAGACCCTGCACTGGTGCCTGAAGCGATGGTTGGCCGGCCCTGGCGCTCTCCCCCTCTCCCCACCCCTCGTCTACTCACTGATCTCCCGGGGCTTCCTCTGGCATCGTGAGATAGGCTGCATCCAGGTGTAATGATCCAAAGTGGCTGGTTCCCAGGCTGGGGTGAAGGTTTTTATTCAGTATCTGGAGAAGGAGCCCAGCCGGCCCGGTTCAGCCAATCAGGGGAACTTCGCCCTGGGAGACGGTGCAGAGTAAATGATCGTTTTTTCCATTTCTGACGGGGCCTTGGCAGGAGTACTCTTCCTCTCTTCCCTCGCTTGGACAAACTGTTTATCGTTCCCGCTGATTTACGACCGGCGAGCAGCCGGCAAGCTGGAGATACAAATAACTTTATTGTGAGAATCGGCCTGAAAGATAAACAGCGCCCTGGAACAGAAAGGCTTCTCGCTGTTTGCCAAGAAGATGTCTGCGGAGGAAAGGTCCCCTCCGGATGGCACCGCTGCCGTAAAATGGTTTAATTAAAAGTCACCGTTCAAATATTGTGTGCTGCATTTCTTAATTAAAAAAGAACTGCACCCACCTGTAGCAAAACCGGGTTTTCCTTCACAAGCTGAACAGCTCAGCGTCCCAGGAAGCAAAACCGTCAGCAGACAGAGCTCAAGCAGGACATCATGTCCCTGCGCTGGTGCAATCGGTCCTGTGCCCAAGGAACCATGTGATGAGCTATGAGCCCCCAAATATCCTTTGGGCTTCTAATGGCCTTTATTTCTTAGAGGGACCCTTGGTTCCCTTCCAGGGGTCATTTCGTAGAAAAAGAGGTGCAGGTGCTCATTAGCATAACTCATTAGCATAACTTATTTGCATATGCCACACCCCCTGACATCACCGGAAGTGTGTCAGAAGGCAACACCCACCGCTCAGGCTCCACTGGACTGTTTTGGATTGCTAGCTATTGGGGGGTGGGGGGGAGGGAGAGCTTGTACCTGAAGGTGGGCTGGGGGCCCCTCTGCAACTTACCTGGCTGCTTCTTGCTCCTCATGGCCTGAATGAGGGCTTCTGGGAGCGGGGGCGGGGCTTGTTGCATGTGCCCGCCCCCTGGGCTCCTTACTGCCGGAGCTCTGCTCCTGTGCGCTCCCGCAGGATATGACCCCTGTTCCCTTCCCATATAGATGGATGTATTGTGAATTTTATGATGGAACCCACCCTGAGGCCACTTGCAGGGAGGGTGGGATACAAATTGAACCAAATAAATTAATAAATAGCTCCTAATCCCCTCCTCCTATCTGGTTATAATGGCATAGATGTCGGGTAGTCCCACCATGGGTGTGTTTTTCCTGACTCTGGAATGTGTAATGCTCTGCAGCTACTTCTCGCTCCTGCCTCTCTTATCTAGCCATTGGCCTTGAGCGCATATCATTTCCATGTGAAACCTCTGTTGCCTCCCGCTCACCTCTGAACCGTTAACCAGTTCCCCGCACTCCACTCTGTAAACCGCTCCGAGCCTTCGGGAAGGAGCGGTATAGAAATGGAAAGTGTAATGTAATGTAATGTAAAATTTTGTATGCCTCATTCCTGACTCAAAGAGTCTAAGATGACTTCACCTTGCTCTGATCAATAAAGCTGAACCTGTTTAAGGACCTGCTGGTTGATGCTGAGTTATTGAAGTACCTGACAATAAAATAAGGGAAGATACAATGAATAAAAGTAGGTACCAACAATAATTTCAGAGATAAGATAAAAAACATTTTAAAGCTAAAACAATATCATTTGACATAATATCTCAAACGATTGCAATCAAAAGTTCTCTGGCTTTGATTGAGTGGGGTAGCTATTAACAGGACGTTAGCCAAATACTCTGCTACCATTTCTGTCACTTTAGGATATTTATCCACCAATAGATATTGAGTAGTTCCCTCAAAAGAACCAGGATAATTAGGAATAACTGGGTCAAGGAGTTGTTTATGAAGTTTGTGGAACTTCAGGCAATAAAGTAAGATATGAGAAACTGAATCAGGTTCTAATGAACAGTGACTGCACAGTCTGTTCTCAAAAGGGATTTTCTGATACCTGCCTGAAAGGACGGCTGAAGGAAAAGTATTCAGTCTGGCTAACATGAAACCCCTGCGGTGTAAGGGCTTAGTAAGCGATTGCATATAAGAGGCTCCTTGATCCAGAGTAGTCTGCAAACTGAAGTAACAGAGGGAACTTATCGGGTTAATTCCTAACATCTGTTTATACAACTGAGCACAGGTACCCATAATTAAACAATTACCACATTCTTGAGTCCAGCCTAGAAGGACATAAGGATAGTATTTATTTATTTTATTTATTTATGCTTTCGACTTGTATCCTGCTCGAACCCCAAGGGGTCTCTGAGCGGCTTACACAATTATTTGTTCCCTAACTAAGGCCACAATCATGAGTAGCTGCAGGGACGTTGAAATTAGGAACCCCTGGGAGCCCATCTAGGTCTTCTAATGATCATGTTATCCTTTGAGGGAAATTAGGGTGCTTTGGCCTCACAACAAGTGTGCAGCATTAGCACTGAATAGAGGAAAGATCATTGAAAAAGAAGAAATCAAGATGCCAAAAAACAGCAACCTTAAAACACTGAGCTCTGAAGAAAACTAAAAATATCTTGGAATTTCAGAAGCTGACAACATCAGACACACTTGTACTGGCCCAGCCCTCCCAGGAAGCTAATGTCACGGCAAAAATGGCAGAGAGGAAAAAAAAATCAGAGTCCAGTCCAGAGAGCAGGTTTAACAAATTCCAGTCCAGGGTTAAGGAGTTCCGGGTAGTCCAGGGTTTCTAGAAAAGCCGGTTGTCAGATCCAGTTCAAGGTTACAGAGGTCCAGTAACAGCAAGGTTGGTGGCTCAGTAGCAAAGTGTACTTGTTGTATCCACAAAACGGCTGTTTCTCCTGGCTGACTTTATAGCCAAGTCTTCACAAGCTACACTCCCCTCCTGCTCCTTGGCAGTCAACCTGAAACTATTCATCCATCTCACCAGTTGACAGCTGACAACAGGTCATCAGTCTTGCACTCCTCCTCCTTTCCTGCAACTCAGCTTGCCTCTGACAGCGTTGGCGCTGCCGGGGTGTGAGTGAGCTAGGTGGGTTGGGAGTCGCTTCTGAAACCTTGTTTGCTGCTTCAGAGCTACAAGGTGATGACTTGGTTTCCACTGTAGGCTGTGAGTTCTGCTCAGCCAGTAACCTGATCTCTTGTTGCTCTCCTGGCTCAGAGCTAGCTGCAGCTGGTTGTTCAATTACTGGCAGGGGGCCAGCTGCAGGTAGTTCTTTGTCTGTGGAATCTGTGCTGTCACTGAGCTTACTGACTTACAACGGTACTCTTGTTAATAACAAATAAAACCAAGGAGTATGGCATTATATCCTGGTGTGGTCCTTCCTGTCCCCTCCCCAAACCCAACCCTTTGCCCCCCTAAATCTCCAGGTATTTCCCGACTTGGAGTTGGCATCCCTATGAGACTCTCCACTGTCCACTCCCTATGCAAGAGTTACTCGGTTTGTTCACCAAAAAGGTAGGCCTAGTTCAGGGACCTGGAAGCCATAGACAAAAGCCATTCAAAGAGAATGTGTGTCCTAGACTTATTATATTCTGGAATTAAGTATTAGAAGAAGTGAGAGAAATAATAGGCCATATATCTCTGACTAAACAGACTTCTGAATTAATCTCACTGCTATTAATGGCAGCAAAATACCTAACAGCACAAAATTGGAAATTGATTAAAATTCCTACCTTAAAACAATGGATATCAAAGGTATGGGATATTGCAGTTTCAGACAAATTAGCGACACAGTTACTGATAATGGACACTCCGTCATGAGGAAACAATTTCATGGATAAATGGTTCACTTTCTTTGAATATGTATTCTCAAACCCTATACAACTATATAAGCTGCCCCATAAATATATGGATTTTGTGTTTTATTAATAGGATAAGAAGCTATATACCAGTATGTAGAAATATGCATGGTGAGCTTGCTTATTGTTTCTTATTGTTATTGTTGATTTTATTGTTCGTAATGTTAGGAATCCTCTGTTCCGGTTCCCTTTTTCTCAGGGGTCATTTCCTGCAGGAGCACACAGGAGCGGAGCTCCGGAAGTAAGGAGCCCAGGGGGTGGGCACATGCAACAAGCCCTGCCCCCTGCTCCCAGCAGCCCTCAGTCGGGCCACGAGGAGCAAGAAGCAGCCAGGTAAGTTGGAGAGCCCCCCCCCCCCGGGCCCACCTTCAGGTACAAGATCTCCCTTCTCTGTGAGGACAGATCTGCACGTTCCCCCCCCATAGCTAGGAATCCAAAACAGTCCGGTGGCACCTTTAAGACCAAGTTTTCTTCAGGTACAAGCTCTCCCTCCTCTGCGAGGACAGATCTGCACGTCCCCCTCCCCCATAGCTAGCAATCCAAAAGAGTCCAGTGGAGCCTGAGCGGTGGGTGTTGCCTTCTGACACACTTCCGGTAAGGTCAGGGGGTGTGGCATATGCAAACGAGCTATGCTAATGAACTCTGCTAATGAGCTCCTGAACCTCTTTTTCTACGAAATGACCCCTGCTTTTTCTTATTGAAGTTCATTGATAACACGTTTGTTAAATACTACTCATAAATAGTTGTATGACAACGTTGTATAAGTCGAATAGTACAGACGACGCTACTGTATTGATGTTGGTTAAAATGCTGTGTTGAAATAAAATAAAAATGTTAGTTGTTAAAAAAAAGAGAGAGAATGCGTGAAAGAGGGGCATTTTCTCACACACACACACCCTCAGCCCCCAGAGTCCCTCTGCTACAGCTGACCTCCAGCAGGAAAGGGGAGGGGGGGTTGCTACACCAGCTATTCCCACTCGCCTCCCTAAACGGCTTCCCATTCTGCACACTTTTCATGTCCCGGGGAAGTGTGGGTATGGAATTTAGACCACCAGACCCAATCTTTAAGGTTTTCTGGGGAAACTCGGAGCCCAAAAGCGGGCAGGCACCCGAGGAGGCAAGAGGACAAACTCCCAAGTGTCAGCTATGCTGCCATGGGGGTTGGGATGCTCAGTCAGAGTCTGTGCAAATTGCTTTCGCATTCCTGTCTCTGCTTTGCCCCGAAACGCTTATCTATAGCGATGTGCAGGTGGGAGTGTGTGTT